CATCTCAGTCACCACCCTCTCTCTTCGTTTTAGTAGATAAAGAAAATACTGGAAAAAAATATAGTACTCAGGTAAAACTATGAACAAAATTTTATTTTCTCCACTCTCCACGTAATAATAATTTGAATCAATCGACTTTCATTTCGAATTCACAAACTGAATCGAATTTGGCTCACACATTGAATTACTAATGCAGTAAGAAACACCAGAAAATAAAGGAAATAAATTGTAACTGAAAACTCTACTGAACATATTTGATTACTTAATTCACCTCTTATCATGTTGAGATGCTGAGTACTTTAAATATTAGCACACGTGCAGATCTACAATCATTTCAGCAATACTGTCTTCCTTCCATCTTTGACGAAAACAGAAAATCCTGAAATAACTGAAAAATTTGTCGATTTGGAATCTGTCATTAGTCTGTGTAAGAAAGCGAATTAAGTAACAGAAAACTTTAAGAAGTGAACGGAGAAATGAAATTTATCTCAGTTCCAGAATTATAATTATTTTCTACTATTTTGGTCGTATTTTTTCACAATGTTTGCGAATACTTACATGCGTCTGTGAGATGAAACATTGTTAGTCTGAAAACTGTGAATATTTTTCTCAAGACGAAAACTCTCAACAAACATTCGATTTTGATATGTCGTATTTCAGTGAATAATAAGTGGGATTTTAAATGCATGTTTTTTGATTCACTTTGAATTTTCCCATTGATTGACTGGATCGGAATGTTAACCCAAGAGGCCCAGTGATTAAAGCTTTGGCGTTTGAAACGATGGATACTAGGTTTGAGTCTCAGTGAGGACACCACCGTTCACTGGGAATCCAGATAAATTTGGATGACGAGTCCCAAATAGAGCTGAATGCTTATCCATTGCTAGTCGCCATCCAACAAAATTAATCCAGGACTTCAAATAATTATCTCAAGTAAAATAAGGATTGAGTGAATATCACAATTACTGTAGTTGCCACCTAAGCAGCTATTTGACATTTGTGGTGACCCACTCACAAACTTGTAGAAATAACTGTTGCAGTGCGTCATTTATCATCGTTGACCAATTTAGCCGCAATAACTGTTGAAAAATATGGAGCACTGAGTACTATCTCGTCTTAGTGTGGATCTATCCAGCATTTAAGTCACTGACTAGCTGTTGACTGTTAGATATCATCACATGCATCTTACCGTGAGACCAATAAGTTGAAATTCAGTTAACCATCTTTCAAATCTCTACACGAATTGTCATACTTCAAAATCTTTGGTTGAATGGCAATTCTATCGCTTCAATATCTAATGGTCATGAGTTCGATCGCCAACAAATTAGCGTACAGACACTGTTAAAAATTCCTAAACGAAGACAAGCACTACATCCAGCTCACCATAGTTCGATAGGTAATGTCAGTTGTCTATTCAATCCATTTTGATACTCATTCACTCGCTATATGATGCAATTAATAAAGTCGAGTAAAGTATGTAAGGTATAACCCATTTTGATACAGTCATATTGATGAGCCTTTCTTCTTTACCGCTTAGTTCAAAATAATTGATTTAGGAGTTCGGTAACGATGGGAAACTAGACAAACAATTACCAGTCACAATTATCATCTATGACATAAAATATGTATCTGTACTGCACAGGTGTCACCTTATCACTTGAGGATGAAAGGGAAATTAAATACACACCTGCTGAGTTTCTCATTAGGCTTGCCAATGAAATTTAAAAAGAGATAAAAATGTTTCAACCTGTGTAACGAAAGTTATGCAATGAGCTGAATATTCAAAATTCATTGCAGGTTATCATAACAATGAACACAGGGCAAAACGTGATCGTGATATGATATTTTGCATAACAGAGTATGTTTAACTTCACACACAGTTGTTATTTTTGAAGAACATATTCCTTATAGATAGATAAACAGTGTATCGAGATAAACAGATTGTGTAATTTGTCATCAGTCTATCCAATTATTTATGAAAGGTATTCATTATAGACAAATGATGGCATTATGCCTAATGAGATAACGAGTTCAAATATACGAGTTTTTAAATAAGAATAGTGATAATATTAAATTTGGTTATAGTAACAGTAATCATAACAATAAGACTATATGAATGTTTATGTAATCAAAGTACTGGCAGATAATGGATTTGTAGGGAGATGATGTATGTGTACAGGCTTGAAGAGGGAGTAAGCATTGTGTCACAGCAAGTAATAATTAGCAGATACTCTTAATTTCCTTGGTAATTGTGAAGCTAAAGTTGAAGTCTGTGACATTAAGCGATATGTGCAGTGAAAAATAATATTTGCATTCATTCAGTTGAACTGTGAAAAAATATTTATGCATTTAACTGGGTCAAACAGATAAGATGGAGTCGAGATTTCTATTGTATCCACATCTTTGAACAAGAGGTAATAGTGTTTACTGCCTACATTACTTTTAGGACAACGGGTGATGTGTAAACGTGAATAACTTTCAGAATTTTGTAGTGTTGAATTTTTCCAAGTTCACTATTGAAATCCATATGGAATTTATTGTGCTTTGCCTCCTTTATCCTGGATAAAGTTGATCAAGGCTACGGCTGGATTGTTGGTTTTCCCAACGTATGCGTCTGTTCCCAGTCAATAAATGTATGCAGGAGTAGTCAGGGTATGCAGTTTAACCTTCATATGCATTGGAACTATACCATGTGAACTAACTTGAACGTATAGTATCATGATGAAGAGTTTCTGAGTTTCAATAATAGTAATCCAACAGATGCATCATATTTTAGAGATATTATCAGATAAGACACTTTTTTTCAGACTAGGTTTATTATAATCGCCATTGCAAGTTTTTATGAGCGAGAGAGATACAAAGAATCCGACGTGTGTATAACGACCAACTCACAGCTTAGTAAAGTCTCCTATACTTCGTGGAAATGAACAGCCTTCATTCTGTGTTTGATGATAAAACTGTCTTGTGTGTATAATAAAAGTCAGAATTAAAAATATTGAATCCGCAGTCCTGGTAGTTACAGTAGAATGACTGTTAATTTTAAGAAATGATGATTTCATTTAAACGGCTTCTGGAAAAGTGAATTATAAACAGACTTTCTGCTAGTTAATAACTAGCTATCCTGAACAAAGTTAGACCTTTGTTTACACGCATGAAGAATATCAGTTTCGCAGAGCCTAGAGATAGTTGTGAAGTAGTAGAGTGTGCCGTTCACTTCACTTATTTTGGAAGTTTCAATAGCCTCAACAGGTTGACTGCTGACGGAATTTAAGCATGAATACAAAAGACTCGTGTGGCATTTCCCAACTTACTTCATCTCCGGCTTAGACGCGATATTCGACTATCGAAGGAATGACGTGTGTATTACATAATAGTCCGTTCCGTCCCTATGATTATGAGACATGGCCATTGAAAATGGAAGATATGAAAGGGCTAGCTGTATTTAATTATTGGTGTCTCCGCTCTATCTCCTGTGTTACATGGTATAATAGGGTGAGTCGTACCAAAATTAGGCAAAATCAGTCGGTGAGGTTGTGAAAACATGTTGACTGAGATGACTAGGATATGTGTTACGCATGCCTTCCTCGACGGGAAATGTTAGCTGACATAGGATCAGCTTGAAAAAGAGGTGGTGATTAAACCAAAAAATTGGCATCTTTTCATGAATTCTTTGATAATTTCAGTTACGTAGAGACGTGCAGACTGCTTGGTTGAGGTCCTCGGGTCCTAAGAATCAGTGGCTACAGAAAACCGCCGACATGACTCCAAATCGTTGTCAGTGGCGTGGATGTGTTCACTTCATTTGATATGCAATATTCGTTAAATCCTAATATTTCTGCATGTTACTGTTCTTTCTCCCTCCACTTTCTGCATATCATAGTCTTTTTGAATCCACTTTCTCTCTTCCGGTTTTCTGCCTTTATGTGATACATGGAATAAGGCGAATTGAGCTGATGCAATTCCGTGCGAAGTTCTGTGTTGAAACTCAGTCAGTCAGTTTTCCAGTAGTTGAATAGAGCATTCATCTTATACATTTTCAAGTTGAAGTGATGACTACTCTTGAATATTACATCGACTTATTTAATTATCTAAAACTAAGTTCATGAACGTTTATCATCTAAATTATATATATATATATATATATATATATATATATATATATATATAGAGAGAGAGAGAGAGAGAGAGAATCCCTTACTTCATCCAATAGGAGGTGTAATAATGAGATTTCTAATTTGCAGCCACAGTCATTACGTTATATATACGGGGAAAAAATATGCAGTATCACACAAAGTGAAATATATTTGAGTTAATAATAAGCTTTTAAGTGCATCAGACCTACATAACACATTTTGTGACTAATTTTCTCGTATAGTACTCTACATTGTTCACTGAAAGTACATGTCTCGGGAAAAAGATAGTGCAGCCAATTTGTAAATTCTTTTATTCCGTATCCAAACTTTGATTGGAGATGTTCGAACCTCCATTTACTATGTCTGAGAACAATATTCAGTTTCTATAACTGTGGTTGATTGCATCCTATAGAAACTAAGAATTTCAGAAGTTTGATGAATTCCACAATAACCTACCAAATGATATCGATAGATCCACTTATACACAGAAAATTAACTGGTCGTTCCTGTCTTTTATATTGACCGTTAGTGAAACACAAAAGCTCTTATTCTTTCCACACAAAATTTCCACAATAACGAATGTAACATTCATTCACCATCCACAATTCAGGTTATTATTGTGACTCCTGTTCAAGTCACGTAATTCATATTCAGGTAAATATTTATCACTGTAGTCCTAGTAGCGGTTCACCATTTCATTAACTCTACAGGTACAGATTTCGAAGATAAGAACGGGAAACTAGTTATTGTATTCACGAGAAAAGATTGATTAAAATATCACATTTTCTAAATTATTCCACTTTTGTTTATTCTGTAGAAAAATAAAATAAACTGTGTACATAATGCATTTGATTCTTTTATATTCAGGGTTCAACAGTTGGTTGTTATATTGGATGTTTATTAGTGAGGCAGACATTTGAAAAACGACCTGGTGAATGTCCTAGAGAGCTGGTATATTCAGTGTTTGATTTCAATAGATCGGTCCTACATGGTCAAGATGATCATTCAAGCTACAACAAACATGAGTCGACCAGCAAATGCATTAATAACTGTCAGTCAGACAGTGAATGTACAAATCCTTTGCAAATCTGTTGTAAATCTGATTGTCATCAACAATGTACAAATGTGAGTTGTTCGTTAAACTACGTAAACAAGCTTCACAATTATAATATACTTTATTTTACGCCTGTTTAGTCTATGAATTTTGGTTGCTTTTACTTCTTGACTCAAATGCTTCCGAATATATATGAAGTAGACTCACTGAGACATTTAAATCATATACCGTCATGAAGAAACAGGAATGGACGAGACACACATTTCTCCCTAGCCTTCTAAACACGAAATCAAACAGATCATGACTACTGGTTCTGAATGAAGAAAATCTGGAAATAAGGTCCTCTGCATACCGTCGAGTCTTCATAGTTATCCTGATTACATTATTTTATACTTCTTTCGGTTGAAATTTACATCGCTACGACAGTTGACCATTTTAAATATATGTGAAGTTCATTTCCTTTATCATAAGCTTTAGAATATATTTTTACTCAGCTAATTTAACACACGAAGCTGTTGTTTTACAGACAATCGAGCTGGCCTACATTAAGCATGTTCAGCTTATGGTCGAACATAAAAGACTGTGTAAATGCAGTATTTAATAATCATTTCTTCACGAGTATGAGTGAATTATTATTTAGTGATTACAAAGAAAGTGAGGTACATTTCAAGAATCTCAGAATCACATATTTTAGTTTAGTCAAGCACATTGCCTTTCTGGTAATCCAGTATCTTTGAGACGTTCAAATTACAAAGGGCACAGAGCCAAGAAAATATTAGTCAATCTTGCAAATAGCTCATAAATAACTATTAGTCTACAGTATTCTTCATTCAGCAATGGGTGCTGACCTTCGCTTTTCAAGTTGACTTGTTAGGCTGAATGTATGGGGTCAAGCATCCATGCCATTTGGTGCGCTCTTATGCTACATCCGGTCGTTTGTGCACGCTGGCTAGTTAAACCGCCATCAACGCCCTACTACTGTCATCCTGAAATATATCCCCTATTTTAGACCACCAACAAGATTTTTGGATTTGTCTCTGGTCTCAGTGGAGCGAGTGATTTGTGAGTTGGAGGATTGATACTTGAGTTTGCGTATACCATATCTTGCGTAACGTTGACACCTTTCATCTCCTAACATTTTGGCGTAATATCACTCTAGTAACCAGAGGCACTCAGAATTTCCTTCGATAACTTGGACCTTTTATTTACTGACGCGGAGTATAATACATAAATATGGCTGAGAAACGTGACACTCAACGTTATATATCATGCCAAACTGCAAGTATATTCTGGTGAATAAAAAACCTAAATTCCTATAAATATTATATACATATGACATATACATAACCAAGTAATTAATATTAAATATACAGCTCCCCCATTATCAAATCACCAAGCTGACAAGCCTGCTTGTACATCATTAGAAAGAATTTAACACAGCGATATAAGCTACTGATCACTTATTAAGTACAACTAAAGTATGAAACATGTAATAAATCATGTTCACAGTGTGCACAATATATGTGAATATTTCTTTTAAGTACCATGTTGTACAATAAATAGGGCGCATTCCTTCAATATACAATGTATGCTAACTTCCTTAATAATGACAGTAATAATATTGGTAGTCGTAGTCGTGTGTACATTCACCTTTGTCTGTAGTTCGACAATTTTTTATATATTAATTGTAACAATGGCGCAAATGCTTCTTATTTATCGGCACGTGTTTGTGTTAGGAAGGAATTTCTCCGCAAAAGTGCTCAAATTTAAGTCATTGACATAGCAAATATGCATTTATGTATAATTGTGTCTGGTTTCCTAGGTAGCAGCTAAATAATATTATGATGTCAGTAATCAAAGCTTTTCTTTAATACAAATTCAATGACCTAACATGAGGATTTCATAACACAGGGAATACTAAATCAAAGTAATTTCTAAAGGATTCATTGAATGACATTTGATTCAGAATTTGTGGGGATTTTAATTTTCGTCACCAACCAACATCATACCGACAAATCCTATAATTTGAATATCAACTGCCAGCTCACTGATGACTACCGGATGGACTTCCTGAAGTTACAGTGAGAGGTCATGACCGGTGAGTTACACTGTGTCAAGGTGAAGTGGATGCCCATCGAAGGCATTCGTGAGGGCAGAGCTATATCACTAACTAACAAAGTTAGAATTCACGGGTCACTTAATACCGGCACAAGTGACTGAGTGCTCAACGAGCTAGGTCTTGTAAGTAGAGGTCCCAGGTCCGACACCCAGCCGGGGCGTGGGTGCTCACTACTGCAGAGTCCCATAGTAGGACGAAAGGGTTGTCCAGTGATCCCTGGTTTTCAATGACCTTTAGCTGATTTTGACTCAAGACGAAAGTTTAAAAAGTGAAATACATTGAATGAATGCAATTTCCGGGCTGTATTAATTAGCACATCTGGTTTTGGAAATTGGTGCAACATAACACATTCACATTTTTTAAAAACTGAACTCTTGCACAATAGCAATGGTTGACTATGTCATTTATTTCGAGATATGGCTTACTTGGCTTCGGTCAACTGTCTGGAATAGTACCTCTAACTTATGTACTTCGACTGTGTTACAGGCTGTCAAGTAATAACCGATGCTCACGTTGAAGGATACGGGAAAGCGTTGGAAACGAAGTGAAATATTTAAATCCCTCTTGTTATAAATAGTCAAAATGCTTCATTTCCCAGAAAAGACTTAGCCTCCATCATAAGTCTTTCGTTATTCAGTATAACTGCCCTGTAAGCAGCTGAAGAGAAGGCGACGAAATAAAATATGGTACCATTTTATTCTGCAAAATCTGTAGTTGTTGCTTTGTTTAAATAACTGCGGTTGTCAGTATACTATTTCTCGTAGCTGTTAATGATAGTTCGTAGACACTATGTTTACTGCTCTTGCACTACAGTGTTTACTCATAATTAGAGTGTATAGAGTCTCATCATGGGCCATTGCTTTTCCTAGTGACTGGTTGCATTTCAAGTTATCATAGATCACTTTGACATCTGAATGAGTTCATCGGTATGAATCTGTGAGGTGTCCTCAGTTTCACAGATACCCGCTGTGGAATTCTGACAAGCATACTGTTCTCAGGTCAACAAAGTTCCATCATCTGTCTTCTTCAGGATCCAAAGGAATACGTTCTAATATTTTTCAATGCATAAAACTCTTACTTTTCTTATTCACATTTGTTTGTTTAATACTCTTCCTTTTTTACTATAGCCAATTTTTAACGAACCTGTTCCTCCGATATCAACGTATTTAAATTCAACAGTGTCTACAATTAACTCAAATAGTGTAAAACTGTTTTGGTCAACATTGTATAGAAATTTGACTAGCTCGATTAATCCAATCGTGTTCATACTTCAAGTACGAATATGCATATGTAAACAGTTTGATGAAAAGTATTCTTCGAAATGGCAAACACTGATTATGGTAAGTTATATAAATTCAAGCATGAAGAGAATTAAACTAATAAATACCAGATGCGGTGCATTGATTATATGTGTTTACTAGGACATATAAACTTCATAACCCGTTACACACTAAGCATTCCTCGTGGCTGAATACACTAGTGGATAATGCTTTCACCTTGAAACAATTAGTACAGGATTCGAGTCTTGGTAAGAACGCCACCACTAACTAGGTGTACAATTACATCCAAGCGATGTGTTCTAAGTAAAGCCAAACCTAAGCCATTTTTTTTCCACTACTAGCGGAGGTCAAACGAAACTTCATAAGTTTAAACACTTGATAATCCTCACTAATTCCAGAATAACGCTTACCATTAACGAAAATCAAGCAATTTTATAAAAACTGAGACAGCATATATTTGTTGATTGATTAGTAATGATATTGTCCAAAAAGCGTGTTACCTGAGCTAAATTTTCCTTTCACGTTAGATGACTGCTTATCTTTTTTAATTTCGGGACGCAGGAGCAATAATCTTTGATTATGATAAGGTATTTTAGAAACTGAGTATTCTGACACTTCATATTTTTTATGTTAGATTTATAAAGTCCAGTCATATTTCATGTGAAATGCAACAACGTTGTAATTTGTGATGGCCATTATGTAATTTCAAGCAGTATAGAGTATTGAAATCTTGAACTGTTCTTAATAAATGCAGAGTTGAGGTGCTTTATATAAGATGTTGACCGATCGAAGCCATAAGACTGTTTTCTTTTTCATTCCTGAGCGTTTCGAATGAAACACATGACTTCAAGATTGAGCTTTTAAGTGTCAGTAGCTGTGGGTGAGTTCTCTAGCCTCACTCCTAACCTTCCCTCTTTTTCGGGCTTACTACTGGTTGGTAAACTACGCGAGGTCCATGAGTATGTTGTCTGGGAATCAAACCTGGACCGTAGCTGTAATATATATTATTGTTGACTAGTTCAGTGAAACTACAACCAACTTAAATGAGCATCTGAAGCATAAAGCAGATACAAACTTTAACATCGAGTAACTCCTTTGAGCTGTTCCACTTTATCTTACATCTCAATACAGTTATGCAGAATACCATCGATTTATAAGGTACAAAAGTGTAGTAAAACTTCAGGTACTTGTCTACTAAAATAATTTTCAATGAGCTTGTAAAATTAATTTAATTTATAGAGAGTAAGATTCAATTATAAATCTAACTTGTACTTTTTTGAATAAAGTATAGTGAAATTTATTTACTCTGACTATTATCCTTGTGTAGTAGTAATTCATATTCTTATTATACTTCTCTAGACTCATGAATTTGGAGCTAATCTTGAAGCTTTTGAACCTGGACGATTGTATCAATTTCGTATTGCTGCTGTCAGTATTCATGGGACAAGAGGATTTGGTTTAAGTACAAAAGCCTATCCTATAAATCCAGTCCAACCAAGACCACCTGATCCACCTAGAAATGTAACAGATTCAATGTGGCGATTATATTCTTCAGGTAAAATAAGTCTTCTCTTGAAATGGCAACCACCAAGCCACAGTGACCTTCCAGTCAGTGAATATCTCGTAAGTTAATTTCAATTATGCAATGGCTTTTATAGGTCAGTCGTGGTTATTTATTTATTCTACTCTGCACTAGCATGGTACGTCTGTATAACTTATTATTTTTTGTTTTTCTGACAGATAAATTGGTCAGTTGATCATGGTTATCTACAAACAGATGGAAGGTCTCTTGAGTCTCTTATTCAATATACACTAACTACCAACGCAGTAAGTGAAATGCTTTCAAAATTGTGCTTACTGTCTCCTTTTACACAAGGATGAGAATTATGTTAGAGAAACATTACTTAAATAGTTATTCTAAACAGTTCCATAAGATGAAATGTTCTGAAGTAATGAACGGCTTACATGTAAAGGTATATTCGCTTATCCGGGTTTAAGCTAATTACAACAACCCTAAACTGCTCATCAGTCGAACTGGAATGTGCATTTATTGACCATCGAACCTTTCGAATATGTTCGAGGTGAATTTAAATTTCCTGAATAACTTATCGTAGTGAAAGAAAGCCAGTTTCTTGTCTGAGTCAGTGTGTTCGTAGTTGAAATTTTATTCCTTTTTCTCATTTTTGAGCAAACAGTCAGTTAGATTCTGGGTTTTCGTAGGAATCTGAAATAATTTATATATTTCAAGAATCAATATCAGTTAAAGAATCGGCGAAAACAACGGAACATTGGGTAGCTGTTTCTTCCTAGTTTCGGACTCTTCATCAGTGCGTACCCACTACCTAATTAGGCATCAAACCCCGAACCTTCGGATTACTATGATCAGTCTCGATACACTTAATATGTCTTATAAGTCAGTGAGAAAGGACATCAATTCTGTATATCTGTAAAGCTTATTTATTAGGATATATACCAGAGTAATCTTACAGATATAACGAAGAACATTCAATGTCACTTTCATCTTAACGGTTATGACAACATTGTTTTAGCGTTTCCTTAGATATTTCAACGCTTATAACATTATTATTTTCTTTGGCTCCGACTGCAGAATAGGGTTTCAACATCACATTTCCATTTTGTTCTGTTCTCTGCAGTCTTTTTCAGCTGGCCCCACCCAAAAGTCTCTTCGGCACGTGTCCGATCCATCCCTACTTTCTTCGAAGCATTTCTTGAGCCAGAGGTACTTGATTGGTTCGTTTCTGGAGTTTTTGTTTCTAATTCTTTCTGCCCATTTGATCTTCAGCATGGAGTCAGCAAAGACAGCTGCTGATAAATGTTTGCAGCCTGTTAGAAATTCTTTTAGTGACTCTATCGCCAAGTTCCTGACCCATAAAGAAGAACTGACGTAAAATTGATGTTCAAACCGAATTTCGTTCTTTGAGTTGAGTGCAGATTTGCATACTGATTTCATGGTGACAAAGGTCTGTCTTGTCTTTTCGATCCTGGCTGGCCTTGAAATCCTCATCCGTGCCACCTGCCTATAGTTGAAGCATTGTTGCATAGATAAGTGAAGGAGGTTACCTCTTTCGAATTTCTCCCGCTGATAGTAATTGGCGCTGGTTGCTGTTATTGGTGGTCAGTTATTTCCATCTCCTCTGTTCTCTCCACGTTCTTTTGAAGTCCTGTGTTTGCTGCTTCTTCTACCAGTTTGCTGATTTCCGTCTATCAGTCTTTAAATTTATGTGACATTAGGCATGAACTGTCCCCGAAATCCATATCTTCTAGAGAATTATTATCTACCCAGACTATTCCTGTCTTCTCGCTCCCCACGCCCGATGTCCTGCATAATCCAGTCCTTCACGATTAAGAATATCGTCGGCGGTAATAGGCAGTCTTGTCTTAATCCTGTATTCGTCTCAAAGGATTCTCTGAGTTTCCTGTTGTGGATCACTCGATATGTAGCACTGTTTTATAGCTGCTGAATGAGGCTGATAAGGATTTGGAGTACTGCACTCCATAGTGTTGAAGTAGTTTCCTAATTACGTTGCGTTCAGCACTATCGAATGCCTTTTAGAAGTCGATGAGATTGAGTTAAAGGTTTGACTTCCATTGTATGCTTTTTTCGATGAAGATGCGTAGAGTCACAATTTGATCAGGACATGATTTGCCTTTCCTGAATCCAGCTTGTCCTGGTTGGAGTAGTTCTGCATCCAGTGCATCTTTTAGTTTCTCTTGTGTTATAAATCCATTTGATCCTATTCATCTTGCGCATAAACGTAAGTAAATCAATGTAGGAATAGAATTCGGTACTGTAGCAGAGTAAAATTCCATAATTGAATAATTTTATTTGATAAACACACAGTGATACTGACAACATTTCAACCAGAATTCACCGAACATGATCATATCAAAGTGAATAAATTACAACGACATTTCTCGACACAAAATCTTAAAAGAATCTGCTGGAGATAACTTATTTTATTTTGTTTTACTTTCAGGATCGTACAGAGTGCATTTTACAAAATCTCAAGCCAGCAACCTCATATAAAATTCAGGTAGACATGATTTCTTTCACTTAAATCTAATCAATAAATATGAGTACATTTCATAATTTTCCCCACTACAGACATTATACTTATTAATTGTTTAGTAGTATAAATTATTCCTCTAATAACACTTTCATTTTAGATTGTAGAGTTTAGGCTTCCGTGAATTGCAACCTATTTTTATTTTATTAGAAACCGGTAACATTCGAGCAAGCACTGAAAAGTGATTATCACTTGTAGTAAATATTCTGAAGATAATTCTCGTAGTTTTTTGCGAAATATTTCCCCGTAATGTCAAACTAAACTATCTGAATTGTGATCAGTCACGGATAACACTAACTGATGTTTTCACTATAAATTGAACTAGTAGATGTTGGAAAATTTAGAGAGGAAGTTGGATTTCACAACAGTGACTAGATGGAGACAGGAGACTCTGCAGCATAGATAGCGATCCTTAATGTATTTTTGAAAATCAGCTGCGGAGTACATCTAGACTGGAATGAAATAACTAGCTATGTATGGTTAATAATAAAGACTCTAAAGGCCCTTACGTCCTCCTATATGATTCTAATTTCCCACATAATTAAAAAAAATTTAGAGAATATCTTATGTAGATGTATTTGTTAGATAAAGGTCAGAGAGGCCAAAATAACCGAAACTGTCTGAAAGCTGATATGTCATACCACCTCATTTTCATACATTTTTATCTCTCTGGACTATAGGTATATTGTTTACTATGAAATTTATAAATATTTGCCATTAGATAAGTACTGAAAGTGATTTATCTTCCTCTGTTTTGATAGGTAAAGGCAATATCTTATTGGAATGGATACGGTAATTTAGAATCTCAGCCGAATACAATTTTTCTATCGACTCAATCAATACATCCAGCTTTCCATCAACAAAGTATTGATCCAGTGGAGACCCATTTACCACCAAAAGGAGGTATGTCTCTTTGTAGTGCGGACAGATTATATGTTTTCCTCAAGAATACAGTGAGTTTAAAACTAGCCTAGTTTACTAGCCAGTCCTCGGAAAAAGAGGGAAGGTTGGGCAACCCTATTCCGAAAACTCAGCCCGGTCGCTACATAAAATTTCATACTCAGGAATATATAAGAAAATAAAATTGTTTTTCATCGGAATCGGAGAGACTGAATGATTCGTACTGCCGATGAAAGCCTCCGGGAAGCCACTCATTACTGGTATATAGACCTAATGTGTCTTCTTTCGATGAGATCAAAAATAAATATGGTGACTTGAAATATCCAAACGATATTTGAAGCTGAGGTGGCTGTCCAAATTGTCATAGAGATGAGGAGATACGGCACAAAAGTACCCGGAATATAGTGGACAGATGAGACTGAAGTGGATTCTTCAAATTACTAACTGAGGAGTCAGTATTGTGCGTCAGTCACCCAGACGACAACCCCGAGCACTCTGGATAAGTGGCTATCATGACGTCACCAACAGCATTGAACCGACCCCCTCCATGGTAATGAAAGCAAGATTCAATTCAAAAGGAAGGCAAGTTACAGTCAACCAAAGCTACTCTCCTACAAATAATGCAGATCAAGAGAAGAAGGAAGACTCCTGAAGACAACTGCAAACGGTAACAGATAAGACCCGAGCCAGATGGCGGCATCAGAATCCCTATGGGTGATGTGAATGCTGAACTGGGATCGGACAATACAGGAAGAGAACTAATCATGGGCCGGGAAGTCCTCGTTGAAATGAATGACAGCTACAGATTCTTCTCAGACTTCTGTGCATTCAGTAATTTGCTGATCAAAAAGTAGAGTGTACAGGTACAAGGATACACACAAAGTGACGTGGATTTCAGCTGACAGACACACCAAAGATCAGATAGACTTCATCTCAATGTTGCTCAAGGAAGTGGAGACGCATCCTGCAGGACACAAACACCAGAAAGGGAGCAGGAGTGGGCTCAGACCATCATCTAGTTCAAGAAACCTTCAGGGTAAAGTTGAAAGCCCTCAAAGCAACTGGAATCAGACCACACTTCAAGTTCAATACTCAGAAACTGAAGAATGAAACTATAAAAGGTACCTTCACTGCAGCTACTGAAGCAAAGTCAGACACATTACTTAGCATTACTAAAGAGGCCTGCGTGGAAAAACACTAGAAATCTCTGAATGTGATGTAAAAACACCCATCACAATGAAAAGGTCATTTTTAGTTGACAGGTGAATATATAGACCTAAGCTGAATTTATCTTTTTCACTGTATAGACTCAGTACCTACTTACTATTACTTAATACCTGACTTTCAGAAATAAGTTTTAAGTCATTTAGTCTTCATAATATTGCAAATAATCCAACTGCTTCCACTTCGTTGGATTTTGTTCCAATAGGCTGTTTAGTAACTTAGCCACGTATAGATTTTTAGAATGACATTCTACTACTGATGATTAAGTGACCTAGTTTTTTTCAGCAATAGTGAAGAGATGTACACAAATGTAGACATGTATCTACTTAAATCTTGTCATTAGAAGCAGGATTCCTAGGTAAAGGGTTCATGCTTTAATAAGAGTCGTAAATCCTAATCACGTTTATCTATTTAAGAAACAAATTTAATGTATGATTCTATTTTTAGATTGTCTTTATAACATTTCAAATTAGTAAAAATATTTTGTACTCCGTTTCAATGGTATTTTAGTAGCATCAACACCGATTGGATTCACAATCCAGTCAAAATCCTCAAACTGTGAATGTGGATCAGCCGTACAACCTCTTCTGTTGAAGAAAATATTCTACGATAATAATAAGCTAAATGCTGTACTTCAAATCAACTTCAGTAAGCCTCCTTTTTCTTCTTATATTATCTATTTTATGTAATTGCGGTGGAAAGTAATCTACGTGGAATGAGTACATTTGATAACATAACTGTATATATCGTTTGTCTGACTTATTATTCAGTAGTTTACCCAGGTTGCTATGTAATACAGAACTTAATTGTATACTCTTCAGTACTAATAGAAATCTGCATCAATAAAGTTTTGTTTGCGCTCATTAAGACTAATGATAGGACTGATGTGTACTAGAGGAGATAATTTAATCAATTTCCAGGTATCTAGGGACGTTCACTGCCAATGAGGCGGGCCGACTGGATCTCCTTAGGCATGATGATCACTGGTTTAACATGAATGAATATCTTCGATAAGACCAACCAAGTAGGTTTCATTGACTCTTTGAAGAACAGATGCTGCTGAGCTCTAGAATTGCAAATCGGTCTTGAAGTACTGGGTGATATTACGAACAGGAGGTCGAAAGAGCATTTTGAGGATCAGAAGTTCGGTGATGTTATTGTGATGAGGCGTTTCACGAAGAGCAGCTGGCTTGTACCTGTGTAGTTTGTTAACGCTGTCAGTAGCTGGTGCGCTTTACGGATAGCCTTAGTAGTCAGCTGCTTTTTTAGAGCCTTTCCACCATTTGATTTGAGAGAAGTCTCCTATGAACGAGCCATAGCGGAAATCTGAAAGAACATTATTACTGAGTTATTTTCAGTACAGACGTTTCTGCTGTTAGTCAATCATTTTATAAATCTATCAATTATGCTTCTTGGAAGGTTATATTACGCCATTTCTAGTATCGATTTAAAATATCTATCTTAACGTAACCAAATTTTAGCTTTAGAGTAACGTGACCGACATGAAATCTGAGTTCATTCTTCTACGAAATACTATCTAAGTTTGACCACCAAATGGCTTCAGTTAGATAACTATTATCAGAAGTTAGGACTGCGGGGATATTGGATTCCTTCTCAATGGTCTATCAGCTCATCTTGTAACCGGAAGGTCCTGGTTTCGACCCATGTCAGTCGTGCGTGCGTATCCCTGATGAGTCACCGGCTGGGACGAAACAACCATCAGGTATTCCCTCATTTTCAATGAACTTTCCCAACTGAAGTAAGTCGGCGATCAGTTTGAATTCAGTCAAATCCCTGACACCAAACTTATAATTTTCTACACTAGCTTTTGAAAAGAACATTAGGGCCTGTAGAATTCAGAATAAGTGAAGTCTGTTTTATTAACATTATTTTCTCAAACATCACAGAGATATACCGCTTTATCCAGAGGTTTTCATAGGTATCATTCAGATAGGGTTTTCACTTCTATATAAAGTGCTTTCTCATTAGTGTGTGTTTGTTTAGTTTCTTTTGTCAATGCTAATTCATTCTACTTATTCTTACACTGCTTTTTAATGTTTCTTCTTTTATTTTTTATTATTTGTTTATTTATTATTTTTGTTAAATGCAGCCATTGAGAAGGATACTACAACTGTGATTCAATGGTTTCCACAAGTTTGTATTGATTCAAATGAACCTTTATCAAATACAGTAAGGCATAAAGTCTTGCAGAAATATAAGGTATGTTGATTAAATATCATTGGGTAAATATATAAAAATTGATACAGTACATACCGCTGACTGACCAGAGTAGTCGCAAACCAATTAAAACTCTCTAGGACTACACAACTTACGTCGTGTGATCCTGGTACATTCACGTAAATAGCCAAAATGTGGACAGTATGAATAGTTTGCTCTTCTAGTTTGAATATGATCCGATGCACAGTAAGTGCGCTCAGTATGAATGGAGCGGAATGACAATTCTTAAGAACTGATTGCTCCATTATCAGCAGATATCCACTGTCCAGTTGACTGAGTGCAAAAGCATCAACTAGATCAATTGTGGAAGCAAGCAGAAACCAAAATATGAGCATTCAACTCTTAGAAATCATTCAGACTTTGTACATTATAATCATGTTCTTGTCTTCAAGTGAAACATAAGACTTTAACTCCAGCTTGAAATGTTTATTGATAGTGGTACTTTCCTAAGGAGTGGGGTTGCTAGCCTCACGTTTAACCCTCACTCTTTACCAAGCCTACTCTGGGCTGGGCGAGATTTAAGAGTGCGCCGGCCGGAAATCGAACCTTGAACCACGTGAGTGGTTGGTAGGTATTCCACAGAAAAATATTATATTGAGGAATTTATTTTGTTTGCCATTGTTTACCAACTCTTTTAGTCCATCCATCACTCAGTGAATCATATTTTCACAATCAACATAGGCGTTACATTAGATCTCCTCATGTTACAGGTGTGAAGGTTTGAAGGTGTCAGTTTGCCAACTAGTTCTCCAGTTAGCAAATGCATCACTGAAATGTCAGGTGAATGAGTAATATATTAATGTATGTCACCATTGGGAAACCATCTATACAACAAGTTTCTTAAATTCTCCCGAATATAAGTCAGTCAATCTAACATAACCTAGAATGTCTTTTTGGTAAACTCTTAAGTTTTCGCTCCAATTTTGTACGCCACATTGACAGACTGAATAGCCTAGTCAGTCATTTTATATTAATTTGACATCTGTCGACAGTGTTTACAATATCGTCAACTGTTCCTGAAAATTACAGTATGTTATGTGCCTATTGTAGCAAGGAACTAAGCTACAATACAGTAGATTACCTTGTGATTTAGGCCTACTTCAAGTTGCACACACAGGTACACGTTGGAGTGAATCTCACCATGTAACATTATATTGACTAACATGAATATTTTTCACGTATCTGGAATCCAAATTGTCAAAGTTTTATATGAATTCGAAAAGACTAGCAAATTGAGTCACACTGTTGTGCAATGAATTCATTCACATCGTGCAACAAAACTCTGCTTCCTAACAAAGAAATACTTTCCCATTTCAAAGACATTAAGGGAAAACTGCATGACCCTATATGCTACTAATATCAGTAAAAAGTTTGCGCATTGTGGATGCTACTGACTGACTGATATGAGTAGATGGACACCATTCACATCAGCCAGGATTAAGGAATAGTTATAAAACTACACTATCTTAAAATATCTTTATCAGGCTTATTGATCTTCCTGACTGCATTTGTGACAGATATAAGTAAACTATGAACACACAATTTCCTGTCAGTCAATCTATAGTTCACAGGCTTTTCCATCATCCTCCGTCTGAATAGCCAGGAGAAAACAGGACTTCACGCGATGAAGACGGCTCACAATGTGTAATACAAATAAGATCGTCTTACTGTATTACTTGATAAAACTGTTACAGTTGTTGCCGTTTAAGATGCATGCATTCATGATAAATTTAATTGCATAATCTAATTGTCTGAATATTTTCTTCGCCTCCTAAGGATTCCAAAATCATTCTGGAAGATCTATACTTCAGTTGTCGCTATAGCGTACGAATTCAGATGTATGCTGGTATTCTGGATGAGACATACCTTAGCATGATAACATCTGGGATTTCAGCAGACAACCAATATTTGGATTCAAGGGGTTTATATTCTTGTTTTTGTACACCACCTTGTTTAGATGTTGAAATAAAACAAGGCGAACTACCGGATAACTGTCCACCACCAGGTATGTGAATACGGTATGGTTAATTTTAGCAATTAACAAAACACTATAGAGTTGAGTCAGCTATGATTCAGCTGTTTTTATTAAAATTTATCAAAGACTCTGTGTAGATAACCACCTAGTACAGTAGTGACAATAAGGGTTTTTTCAACAATCAGTGATGATAATGCGATATACATTTCATTATTGTTTAATTTCTACCACAATAATCAAGATTGCTTCACTTAGAATCTATTTAGAAACTGAATTTCATTGAGGAAATCAGATGGATGACATTCACGACCTTCCTTTTGACGGCTTCATATAATGTTTTCCAAAAGAGTTGTAGTAATAAATGTGCATGACTCTAAAGATGCCTGAAAACTGTCATCCTACAGGATTCTGAACATTCCACTTTTAAAGTATTCTCTATAGTTTGGTTTGTAAGGGTTAGTTATGTTTTTACGAGTTGACCACTGATTGATATCAGTTAAAGAACCATTGAAAACCAGGGAGTACTGGACAGCTGCTGTTTCTTCCTAGTTTGGGAATCATCGGCAGTACGCACCCAATGGGATTCGAACCCAGGACCTTCCAGTTAGAAGGCAAGCTCGTATACCATTCAGCTACTGGGACCCGATCCAATGGCTCATGAATTCTAACTTCTACCAATTCGTGATTTAGCGCGACCCCAAGTATTCACTAATAGAATTGGTCATAAAAACTTCTACTATGTACTTAGACCAACCCTGAATCGTTTTTAAATTCACTGCATAAATGATAAATATACTGGCATAAGTATAAACAACTGGCAGAAGTGATCTAGTAGATAACGCTTTGGTGTTCGAAGAGAAGGGTGCTGGGCTCAAGTCTCAGTGGGGACACCACCACTGTCTGCAGGTGGACCAAGGACCAGGAGAAGAGTCCTTGATAGGGCGAAATGAGAATCTTTGATCTCATTGGCAGTCACCATCCATCAACTATCCGATCAGTAAAGCACTGAGATGTTCATCCTGAGACTGCTTCTTATAATCCGTCTATGACCTAAGTTTCCACTTCAACTTGAGTTAGTATGCCACCAAGTCTATGTGTGTACCTTAGGAAGTCCATTAGTCGAATGATACTCATCAATATTGGAGGGGTAGTATCATAACATCAGTTTAATTACTTCATATACACAGTGATTTCATTATTTACCATAGTTTACAAATAAATAGGGTCTGACAAGCAAATATTATTCATTCGCTGTTGATAGTGATTGACTGTAGGTATCAAAATCACTCAATAAAATATGATTTAAGACATAACTACATGGATGAAATGTGTCCTTCTACAACTTCAAGTTATTTTTCACATTATTTACAATCGCTGTGAAATATTTAACCACCTTTACTATTGCAATACACTGACGCAAGTCAGGTCATGCAAAGATAAAGGCAGGGTATCTGTTTTTAATTTCAGACCACATAACGGAGGAGCCACAGAATACACTAGACAGTGGGTGGAATAGATGTTGGTAGGGAAAATCCTGTAAATTTTCGGCATAGATAGCATGTTCTTAGTCACTTTACGCTTACCATCTATTAGAGGAGTCGGGAATTAATAACATTGCTTACTCTCTTGATCTCTGTAATAATGCCGAAGTAAATTATTTTTCATAGTATTCTCGACATTCTTTTGAAATGTTTTTTAGCACCAGTGCCACCGTTACCACCTACTCAACTGAAAGTAATGCATATGGGCGACCAAGATTATCGAATATCTTGGGTGCAGTCAGTGAGTAATCAAGAGAGGAAAGTTAGGACTGCTGATAAAGATTCACGTCTTTCATTTTCAAATGAACTGAAAAAGAATTCAACAAAATATCGTATTATATGGGCACCAAGAATACATGAGCCAGTCGATGAATCTTTGTACAACGATGAAATTGGTTTCACTCCGATAATGGATCTACAACAGACAGATGTCAGAGTAATAAATAAGGTAACCACTGTTCATTTGAAGAAGGTATCTTGCTTTTTATCCTTTGGCATTTTTAGCTCACGTATCTCCTATCACCGTCAATTCATCTCCATAATTGTTTTAGGAACAATAATTTATATCAAGTTAGATTTTAGCACAATCTTACATCCATCAAACGAACAAGTGGAAAGCAGGATTTACTGAAGAGCACTCCTTGGTTCTAAGCAGTTCACTAACTGATGTAGGATTATGCTGAAAGCTAACTTGTAACTAATCGAATCCCTACAAATCGACACTTTGGGATCATGTTTTTTTTTTTTTTTGATTTACAGCTTGATTTCCACACCGTATTTTCAGTACAAGTGTGGAACTTTCAGCATGGATATCGGTTGCCCAAATTCAGGCATACCATAGATATCGGGTGTGCGCCGGCAGGGGTTCGAACCCCGGACCATGTGCATGGTGGGCGAGAGTCTAACCACGTGCCACCGACGCACAATGTTATGTTCCTCATGCAGATCATATGACTCCTAAGTATAGACTAGTTCCCTTCTTGATTTCTAACAGATGTAGAAATGTGAATTGCTTAGTTGTTTCGAAAAAACTGCGTGAAAATAAATAAACATGATGATACTTGATAGATTACAATGAAATGGCTTCATCCTACCATTGCAGATATTGCTTCATTACTTTATTTTGCTAACAAATAGTAATCAAATAGCATTTCGTACAGGAAGATACAAATTATATTAGAAAAGAAACGGAGGCATATGAGATGTAGAAGATTTAAGTTAAAGCGTTTTCTGAATAAAAAAATAGTTGGACAGTATTAAAACACAAATCTGAAGTCATTAAAATAACTTTGTGGGTAGGCAGTAAAAGTCAGTGGATTTGTTGAGCTGATGCAAGTTAGATGAATGTTTCTTTCTCTCCCAAAATTTTTTTGGATCTATGCAGTGATCAATACTCCAAGATTCGTACTGTCCATTTCAGCTAGGCGTAATTTGCAATTCATTAAAGAGAAATACAGTGTGCACCAGAGAGATAAAGATGACTTCAGCTTTATTATGCAGTCATAATTTTGAGCGAGGCAAAAACATGGGTTTGCGCAGAACAAGACTGTATCATTGTTCGCTTCGTCAGATTTTCATCAGCTGTGTATGGCTTGTAAATGCTATATGAAGTCAGTTACCAGGAGACTCCAAAACCATAAAGAGTGCTCACAATTACACTTATATAACTTATGCACAGAAGGTTTAAGTTCAAACGAAATCAAGTAAATAAAAATACGTTTGGATACAATCGAGAAAAAGTTGTGTAATAAGGACAAGAGGTGGACAATTAACTAGTAAGCCAAGCAACAATTTGGTGAGCTCAACTCAAATCTAGGGAAATAAAACAAGCGAAACTACTTTATGGCTAGGGGGAAAGAGGCTACAGCCAAAACTTATGCCACCAAGCAAAAGGAAGAGTAAAGACATCTATTTACCAGGGAAGGAAAGACTGATAGTTGCTTCCCTTTGGCCACATAAGTTTGATCGCAAGCGCTTGCTTCGGCAAAACTTGAGAATTCAAATATACTATCTGCTAATAAGTTTAAAGGATTTAAGGGTGTCCACTCCATGATCTGCATCAATGAGATGTATGATATGGGTCATGAGGTGGCAACTCTGAAATATGATTCATCCGAAGAGAGGTAATTAACATAAAGCCTTGTATAATTAAAAGTTAATGGCACACACTCATTCGATGCAAATTTTCCATGTGCACTCTGAAACAGGTTGGTCAGTTTTGGAAACTGCTGGCATGTATTAGCTGAAATTTGTGTGCTAATACGAGTCAGATTCATTTCCATTCAGTATGATATTTCACTGGTGGATGTGTGTCGTTAAGTTTAATAGATTGTTATACAAAAGAAAGGTCTACTGCATAAAAAGTCTAACAAGAATCAGCCATACTAAATTGCAGTCTACTATTAGCCTGTCACTATTAATTACTATGTCAAAAGTTAGCACTCAGGCATATATCTGTGGTTAAGATGATGATGAGTCACAGTTTTATTATTCATGTTTATACATTCGTGAAATTCTGATGCATTTATTCATACACATGACGTATAGGAACAAACATGGATTGCTTTGAAAAAGCTGAAGCCAAATACTTTCTATATTGTACGTGTACAAACCTTACTTATCTTGCCTAATGGTATGGAACGAGAAAGTAATCCTGTATCTGTGTATTTTACTACTGCTGGTGAAGAGGAAATGAAAAATTCACACTCACGTAAGTATTATTGTTGGTGTCTGAAGAACAATTGTAAAGAATTACAAGTCTCTGTACACATTTACATTATAATCTCCAATGATGATCTCTCCCGACATTCATCCGTAGAAACCCTTAAATCCTGAACTGACTCCAGGTTAATAATGGAATCGCAGCCTATAGCATTCCGCTAATCTCCTGAATAAGTTAAATCGAAAACAAATTCAATTAATGGAAGTTTAATAGGGTTACCAATATAGTTATTGATTCTTCATTATTGGTCGACCTGCTTCTGCGATATCTCTTGAGTGAACGGGTGATTACTGAATTCTTGAAAAAGGAAGGAATTCTGAAGAGATGTTATTACTGAAAATAACCAAAATCATAAAACATGTAGATTGCACTAGTAACGAGCTTATTTCTTAAGAGCATACGATTTATTAGCACATTTCATTGATTGGAGTTAGTGAAATCAGAATGCTGGGAAAGAAGCTAAGCTTTTGCAATCACCAAAGTCAAATTAAACGCTATTTAGTTTAACAGTGAAAGCGTCACACCCTTTTGAAAACGTGCGAAACCGGTCAGCTAACTTGCCATAACCTTCAGCTGTAAACAATACAGTAATGCATATTCTGAATTCGTAACGAAGATGTTTTCCTTTATTATCGGATTCAGAACTAAATTCCTTTCATTAAAATTGTCCATGTGGAATATTAAAATTATTTTCAGTCTGTCTAAAAGAATACACAGTGTGGTACACTGTTAATACCAAAGACGTTTCCAATAGTGATATCTGTAGGGGATGTGAACGGATGAGAAGTCGTAACCAGTGGGGTCAATCAGATGTGGCGTGAAGACAAATACCTTCCAGTAAAATTGATTCGTGGTCATGCTAAAAGCACAAACTGGTAGAAGTTAAAATTCATAGGCCGGGTGTTGGTAGCCGAATGATATACGAGCTCGCCTTGTAATCAAGAAGTCCTGAGTTCAGACGCCGGTGGGTGTATACTGTCGAAGGGTCTGAAACAAGGATAAAACAGCTGTCCAGTACTGCCTGGTTTCCAGTGGTTTTCTAACTGACACCAATCCGTTATCAGATGTGAAATATTAATAGACAAAATTTATAACTCTGTGTGGATATCAACTGCGAAACAGAAAATAAATGAAAAACATAAGGGTGAATAAAGCCTCAGAAATGCACTCTAAACGGTGGTACACATACCTAAACACACATACACACAAAGCGCTCACTTCACTCAGTACTCATACGAACAAATTTGTTTCAGTATTCAAATAAACTACGCTCAAACTAGTGTGTAAAACCATCTGAATAATTAATTGACTGCTAACTACAAAATAAAAGAGGAAGAAAAGATGCTGTTGTTCTCATTTCTCACATCTCATAAACAGGAAGGAAGTTTCAAGCCTTTTTAGATTAGCAGTGACAAAAGAGACAAAGAATGTATTCCTCACTCATTGTAATGTAAATTAAATGATCAAATAAATATGCCACAGATTTATTTTTCAAAGTCGATTGTGATTCATTCAGAGTTTTCTAAACAGCACAAGCATACACAAAACACAGAATTTATATTAGAAACGGATAATCAATCAGGTGAGTCTCTAAAGACTTGAAAGTATTACTGGTATCCATCTTCTGTTCAACTAGCATGATGGGTGATGGACGGAGAACGTAGTCCGAATTTGCATCAGATGTCAGAAGTTGACTGCACTTCCATCATTTAGCCGTACAAAAGCCATCAGTAAACTTTTCATTGTACAAATTCATGAATCCACAACGAATTTACATACGTATGAATATGTATTATTATAAAATTGTTCGGTTATTTATTTAACTTGCATTATATGATAAAAATTTTCCCTTTCCTACTTTCTATCACAGGTCAACACAAATTACACAATTCAGCATCTTCTCTCCATGCAGACACTGTAATCACACTCACATCCGTCAATATGTTCATATTGATAATTTCCTGCCTTCGCATTTATTTCGTGTAAATAAGATTTTCATCCCCCTGTAAATTTCCCCACTATAAAACACCCCCTATTATGGACGCTTCAGTGTCTTTTTTCTACCTTGATAGTGGAGTAACTTCACCAACAGTGAACAGGCTGCTCATACAAATACTGATGTTCAACTTATCTTCAGATTGTTAAGAAAGAAACTTCCAAATGATTTTATACTTAAACAGTTCCATATTGTAATTTCATTTTTGAAATTATCAATAATACAACTTCCATGTAAAGCATGTACGAAAATTTGTTTGTAGAAATTCACTTCAAATCTTCCTTTACGGGGGAAATTCACGAGAATGTGTTGCTTAAGTGCAACTTAAGAGTCGTTTTGTTTTAACTCTTCATACTGTTGGACAATTATTAAATAAATGTGTGATAGGAGAAGTTGGACATCAGCAGAGTATAACTCCATATTAGATTAGTTTATTCGAATTGGTACACATTGGTGCGATTTTATACAGTGGATGGTGATGGATGAACAATTCAAAGCCTACAATTGAATCAAAGTGACATAACACTATATTACTGTATGTTGCATTCAGTAAGTCATTAGAACGTGGAAAAGTAAGCTGGAACATGAGTAAAGATGTCTAGAATATGTTCTAGATTTATGAAAATATCAGGGATTGACCACGATTACCTAGTCAGTTTCACTGTTCAGTATTTCGCCTTTCGTTGTGTGACGGTCGCCTCAGGATGATTTATATTAATGTATAGAAGAAGTACAGGATACCGTCAGACTTAATCGTGAAGTAAAATTAGTAACGAGTGTTGAAATCACACTTCAAGTTTCTTTCAGTTACACATTAGATAAAATGATAAGACTTCTGTAGACACTGATTGATACAGACAGTATACATAACAATATACACAACAACTGGAGATGGAAAAAATAATCTCATTTAAAACCGGATAAATTAAAACTGTGTGAAGTTTATGAGTTGTACCAAGACATTGCGACATTGTTTAAACAAACGAATCTTTTGGTTATCACAATTAGAAGTCTTGATGATTTTTAAAAGAAGCATTTCGTCAAATAATATTGAAATCATTGAACAGCTTGTACCGCTAATTGTCCGTAAAAACTGTTGACCCTCTCACTCTGAAGATATTGCAACATTAGTGCTTATTAGGATATAAATAACAAAGTGTAGGATAAGACAGGAAGGGTGTTCACTTAATCCATAAAGTTCAACAGAACCTGTCACTTGAATATTTGATATACGTGGATAAAAATGTAAGAATAGCAACATCAAGGTAGATATGTGATAGATTAATCGGAGATACGAAGGCTTTAACACAGGTTATATGAATAAAGGAATGAAAGATGGACACACTGCACACACCCTTGAAGTTATCGACTGGTTTGTCTATCTAGGCAGTTGTGTGAATGCTGGCGGAGGTGTAAGGGACAAGGTCTCTAACCGCATAGAGAAAGTTAGGGTGGGATGCACCATTTTGGGCCACCTCTTTGCCATCATGACGTCAGCCTGGCAGTCAGAAGTCGAATTTACAATGCTTCGGTGCGCAAAGTCTTGCTCTACACCTGTGATATCTGGCCTCCATGAACTGAGAATTTGAGGCGACTCTGCGTTTTTGATCATCGCTGTCTCTGCAGAATTGCTTGCAACCCATGGTATCATTGAACGAGTAATTTTAAGGTTCGGCAGTGTGTGTCTGAGCACAATAGAGTGCCGTCATCTGGAAACACCAGCTTGGGTGGCTTGGATATGTACTACGAATATCATCCCTAAGGCTCTCTGTCCGCTAGCCACGGGACTGGATGGAAAAAGCGGGAGCTGGTTGGCGCCATGGAGTGAAGGATATTAGTGTTAGGTCAACACTAGTTGGTACATCGCGACTCCCTGGATGAGGTCCAGAAGACAGTTCGAACCTGTGGCTAGAATTAATGAATAATCTTCACAAACATGCTTTCTTGTTTTCTGGAGGATGTCCCCCATTTATTCTCTGCTTACTTTCTTTATATATTGTTGTTTTATTATTGTAGTGTGGCCCATCTCTTGGTGCCTATATTGTACCAAGTTCCTGTTTTAAATAAATAAGCAAATAAACACTGCAGCTCAATTTTTGTACAACAGACCCTATAATTTACGCGAGTGGTCCTCTCATATGTTTTAATATACACAAAAATGATGTAATGACTGATATTCAGAAGTTAGTCCAGTATTCCAGCCGAATTATACAGTCAAATATCTGGTAGTAATCTGCATGATAATCGATTACTTAAATTCCGGTTAGTATAAAAGTTTGATGGCACAGTGGTTAGGACTCTCGCCGACCATGCACATGGTCCGGGGTTCGACCCCCTGCCGGCGCACACCCGATATCTATGGTCGGCCTGAATTTGGGCTACCGATATCCATGCTGAAAATTCCATACTTGTACTGAAAATACGGTGTGGAATCAAGCTGTAAATCAAAATAAAAAAAATTTAAAAAAATTTGGGGATATGGAAAAGTTGGATTATAAACGTCGGCCTTCAGTGAACGCGTTTGTAAACGTCACCGTGGTTACACTTTTAACTGAAAACTCGATAGATAAAGCTGTAATGACTGGCTAGGTTAACGTGTGATTCACTCTGGTACCATCTTTTCAGTTTAGTAACCTGCCACTTAAGTCTACTAAGTCTGAAACCGGACATTAGCGTTTATATAAGCACAGTTTAAAACGAAACAGGGCTCTTCTTTATTTCATACTGGTTCACGAGTGCTCAGTAATATCTTTATTTTGCTTCAGAACCATCACTGTAGTACATTATACTTAAAAGAAGACTAACCAAGGAACTTTTCGATCTTGGTGTCTGATATCATTCAGCATGAATTCCTCCTGATTGTTGACACTCGTCAGTAGGGTGTGTCTACAGCTTTACGGATATCCGTACTCCCTCCAAGATGCAAATTTGCATGACCCTGTATCAAACCACTAGGCAATTTAAGTCACTACTGATCCCCGTAAAATTGGTAGACAAGCTGATTCTGCTTCATCTGAATGTGCTGATCTAAATCTACTTTCCAGTTACGTAACACAATCGCCACGTTTATTGGGATGACGATGTCGTTCCTTTGAAAAATGTTGCTTGGTCGATGATTAGCTTTGCGACGACCTAAGTACACCTGGTAATTTGGATAGGTCTCCTGGTCCTTATAATGTCCACAACAGTAATCACAACATGAAAGCCAAGGTAAGCTTCTTAGCAGTTCCTCCTTAAGCAATTCTTAATATCTTCAATCACAGGTGCAAAAGAGCTATAAGGAATGATTCTACTATAATTTTAATCAGAATATCATCATCACCCTCTCAAAAATTGTGGGAGTCACGCTGAAAGATCCACATCAGTATTTTGATAATGGACACGAAACATCTTATCCCACTTAGTCTGCAAGTGGATTAATTGTTTGTGTACAAAAATTAGATGTATAACGTCAACAAACCTGACCACGACCAAACCACTTATCATAAGCTGAACCATTTGGAGCAGCTTAATAAGACACCGCTTACTTATTTCGTATTCTGACAAATTTTTGACTTGGTGACAAAATGCCTACCAGGAAACAACAGCTCAAACCTAGTTACAAATCACTAATTTTTACTCAGTTCATATATAAAAATCTGCAATGATAATATTATTACATACATTCAGAGTTTTATAAATTCATACAGCTTTACTTGTGGTGATCGATTTAATTTCTAGAATTTCTCTCACGTGATTCGCATAACAGATAACTACCAAATTTGAATTCATCATTCTACAGTTGTCTACCTACTTATTTAACTATGCTTCTTGATGACTTGAGAACAGATGAGATTGATTTAATCAAGAAAACGTTTCATCAGTTCGATTATCGTAACATTGGTTTCATATCTCACGAAGACTTCGCCAATGCATTACGCTGGCTGAAATTGATACCATCCGAAGCAGAAATAGCACAAGTCTTACAGGAAATCGACCCAGAAAATCTAGGACGTATTAAAATTGACGCATTTGTTCACAGTGCAGTGAAATTCTGGTTTCCAACACCACAAAAATTTGAAGCCTACTTATGGGATGCATTTTCCGCATTTGATACAGAGTTGAAAGGCAGTATATCGAGTGATTTGTTAAAGGAGATTTTAACCGTTCATGGTACAGAACCGATACCAGAGAAGGAAGCCAACAAAATTATTAAACGTTATGAAACTAGACCCCAAAGAATGATTGAATACAGTTCAATAATCAATGACTGGATGAGATGAAATCTGAAGATGGGAGAATATACAGCCAAAGTATGATGCTATGGTGTATAACACGACATGTTACTACGGTAAAACAGCCACTTCATTCACAAGCATCATACACTAATGGAAATGTGCTAAATGTATGTCATATATCACACATACATATGCATACATATTATGCATAATACAATATATATTCCGCAGTACAAACTACTTCTCCTTTGATCAGTGGTTTTCCTCACTTATTCATAACAGGATATGTGAGGTACTGATTTGGTCATTGTAGAGTAATCCGACAAATTACTAGAAACAATAGATCAAGAAATAATCTGAACCAGGACAAAAGTTACTCATCTCTGCGAATGCAAGTGATGTACTAATCGATCATAGATAGAACTAAATGAAAAGTGGGGACAGATACTCACCAGTGACATCGGTCAGCATTCGAGCTGCATATCACGGATTGGCAGATATTAAGATTTAGGGGGGGGTTGTATTCCGTCCCAGTGACTGGATGGTAAATGAGGTCGCCTTGTAACCCAAAAGTTCCGGGTTCAGACCCCGGACTGCTTATGTATAAGTACTGCTTAAGAGTCCTGAACGAGGACTGAACACCTATCCAATACCACCTGGTTTTCAGTTGTTCTCTAAGTGAAGTCAGTTCGTGATCAAACTTGGAGTTAATCAACTCCGTTTAAACCAGCACTTGAAAATGAGTTCTATAGAAATCACTTTGCTTTTGTTCAAACAGTTGAATGTATGGATTTGTTTATCATTTCAATCGCCTTCACAATGCAAATGAAAAGACTGGTTCTTAGAAAAATTATAAGTAATGTTGGTTTGAGTTTAAATAAATAAACATTCTGCAATAATGACTACATGCATATTCCTAATGATAAACATATAAAGCTGAAACGTTGGCAACAATTGTGTACGGTCGCATTTTACATATCTTATTCTCATATTTTATGTTTAGGGACCAAGCGAAATGCATATATTTGAAAGTCCTGGTGTTTAGTTCTATATTTCCATAATCTCTTTAGAAAGCTTTCAAATGTATTTTGAAACTGTTGAGTTCATTTCAACACTTCTTTGTCATGCTATGAGTAGAAGCATTTAAGTTATTTCCCGAAGTTTTCTTTCTTACTGAAGTTTTTAGTGATCGATATTTTACAATGATCAACAATTCAAACAAACAACCGAGCCCTTTTCTTATGATATATATATATGCTTATATGTGGTGAGTTTGCTATATGAAACGATTAATGTGATTTCACTTTTTCATAAATTGTTAGAGTCCAGTTAACTCTTGAATTCACACCACATCCACTCTTCCCGTACTCCATCAAATTAGTCGGACAAACAATTTATAGAACAATCAAGCTCTTCTACTTTGACATTTTTTCAAACTCACTTGAGTGAGTATCCGTTTCTAATATAAATTCTGTGTTTTGTGTATGCTTGTGCTGTTTAGAAAACTCTGAATGAATCACAATCGACTTTGAAAAATAAATCTGTGGCATATTTATTTGATCATTTAATTTACATTACAATGAGTGAGGAATACATTCTTTGTCTCTTTTGTCACTGCTAATCTAAAAAGGCTTGAAACTTCCTTCCTGTTTATGAGATGTGAGAAATGAGAACAACAGCATCTTTTCTTCCTCTTTTATTTTGTAGTTAGCAGTCAATTAATTATTCAGATGGTTTTACACACTAGTTTGAGCGTAGTTTATTTGAATACTGAAACAAATTTGTTCGTATGAGTACTGAGTGAAGTGAGCGCTTTGTGTGTGTATGTGTGTGTAGATATGTGTATCACAGCGTGTAGTGTATTTTACCAGATTCATTTTGTATCACCTGATTGCGCTGTTTACCTTTTTGCGTGTGGCATATCTCTTAGGTGTCTTTGTTTAAGATTTGTTTGATTTACAGCTAAAGGAATGATATTTTAAACGATACAATTTGTTTATTTTTGATTAGACCAGAAGTTGCGGATGAAGTTAGTGTTTTCCTTAGTAGATATGATTCAATGTGAAGCACCAAACTGTTTGTGCGTTGATACTTCAAACTGCAATTTAACTTGTGTTGGGAATCACAGATGTATCAGATAACATCGTTCACCTCGCTGGTCGTCTTACTCCCGTATGCACTTCGAACGCCTCACTGAGTTTCCGTTTGTGGATCACTTGACACGTGGCATTGTCATATAGCTGTTGAATGAGGTTGACAAAGACTTGAGGTACGCCGAAGTGTTGAAGTATTTTCCAAATTACTTCTCGGTCAACGCTGTCTATTGAAGGCCTTTCGAAGTTGGTGAATTGGAGGTAGGGAGAGGTTAGACTGCCATTCTATGCTTTGTTCTCTGATTATGGTGATGCGTAGAGTTGCAATTTGATCAGCACTTGATTTGCCCTTTCTGAATCCAGCTTGTTCTGGTCTGACTGAGTTCTGTATCTAGTGCATCTTTTATTGTCTTCAGGATGATGCGACTTAGTATTTTACTTGGCGTGGACAAGAGCATCATTCCACACCAGTTCTTGCAGAGGCGTAAGTCGCCCTTCTTTGGTGACCTGACAAGGTAGCCAGCCTTTCTCCCAATCTGTAGGCACCTCTCCTCCTTTCAAAACCTTTTGTAATAATGGAGTGAGCATATCTGCCGCAGTCTTTGGGTCCGCTTTCAGTGCTTCAGGAGGGGGGATTTTGTCAGGTCCTGCTGCCTTTCCGGACTTCACTAGCTTGATTGCATTTAGGATTTCTGCTTTTGTTAGAGGATCGATGTCCACTGGCAGTTCCATGCTTGTTGTTAGGGGTACTTTTGGGCGAATTGCAAGTAGTAGAGGGAAGTAATTTCACTGTGGAGTCAGGAAATCCACTAGGAGAATTAGTTATGATCTTAGACCGTAAATTAAAACCTACAGGAGAGGATAAAATATGCACCAGAGTTTATGAACTAAATAACATCAACAATGAACCCAGTATGACTGGCAAGCATTCAACTGCTCAACCACTAGTGACGCCTAGATGCAGTAGCAAACAAATTCTAATAACACAAGAATTGGAGCCTTAAATGCTTATATCATCTTTTATTGAATATGTTTGTTGATTTCTTTTCACCCTAACTCAGTTACACGACCAGTTATCATTCTTAATTACAGTTCCAAACTTTTTCTGAAGTTAACTAAAGTTTGTTAAAATCGTGATAAGTGTATCAACACTTCGATCATTCAAGTTATGTGCAACTGAGTAGCAACCGACAAAACAAAAGCTCTGCTTTTTCATTTAGTTGAGTAATAGCCAGTGAGTGGGCGAAAGGAAATCATTCAAGGTGATTCGTCATACCGCATTACACCTCATCTTATCTCATTGAAACCTTCTAATGGACTCCGTATTCGTTAACTGCATATATCTGAGGAGATTGCCGATTGAACACTAATTAGCCTAAACTATGCACTCAAACGAAATTAGTCCCTTTCTTATCAAGCCTTATTCTCATTGCACCTTAATAAAAGCATGATTCGTTTTCTTCCTCTTACAATCTATCACTACGTAATCTTACCATTTGTTATATTTAGTCTCTATCTATAGTGTATACGTGAATAATTGTTTGGTGTTGTTTTCAGTTATTCTTGTCATCACAAATTGTTCCACTTGTTAATATTGTTATTAATAGGACTATTATTACTATGCACTGGCGGCCTGCTTAAACCTTGGGCTACCAAAATTTCCATCCTATATATTGCATCTATTTCCTCGTATTTATTTTATTTTAATCATTCAATTATGTGTACTAATCGCATTGTTTACTCTCGCGGTTATTTAAAAAGTTTCCAACCGGCTAATTTACTCGTTTCTAACAAACCCAAGAAAAAGCCTCATGGTGGATGGCAACGAGCTTTAAAGCGTACTCCGATGCATTTGATGACTGTTCCTGTGATTATGAGCACAAATTGCAGATCTCTACCAAACAAGATTAATTATTTGCATTCTCTATTATACTCAAATGTATATTGTAACACTGCTGTAATTACTCTTCAAGAAACTTGGCTGCACGATTCATATGACGATAATTTGGTCTCTTTACCTGATTTTACAATGTACAGACAAGACCGATGCAGCTCAAAGAAGAAGAGAGGTGGAGGTGTGGCCACTTTTATTAATTCTCAGTGGTCTACTGTCAGCAACGTCTGCTTCAAATTCTCAAATGACAATATTGATTGTATAACTGTTAAATGCCGACCTAAACACTTATCTAAGTATAATTGCATTTTTGTCACAAATATCTATGTCACACCTTCTTGCAGTCCCTCAGAACTATCGATCTTTGCCGACGAATTCACTATTTTTGCTGCTTCTTCGTTTGGTAACTCCTTGTCTGTAGTAACTGGTGACTTCAACGCCAGTGACTACAGTTTTATTACATTGCTGGGTCATGAAAATGTGGTTAAATTCCCAACTCGACAAGATACTTCGCTTGATTTAGTATTCATAAATGTTTCTGGAATATACGAAGCTCGTAAAAGAGCTCCACTCTCAAACTCTGACCACTGTATTGTACGAGTTCTACCTAAAGTTTACGGAAAGTTACACAAAAAAGCCTTCTCTAACTTGTCCAAGAAAGTTGTTCACAGATGTTACTCAAATGAGAATGTACAACATCTTAGAAACATGCTCAGTGACACAAGATGGGATCTGTTTAATGATGTTTCACTTGATGACACAATCTCTAATATTACGTCTTATCTGAAATTCTGTTTTGAAGTCTGCTGCCCAAAAGAAACATTATTCGTCAAATTCGACCGTTTCTCCTCCCCTCAACTTAAAAAGCTTCGTAGAGAGAAGGAAAAGCTATATAAAATGAAAGATAAAAGTGGCGTAAAAAGAACTAACTTCCTTATCAAGTTTGAAATGCAGAGATTGAATGTTATATATAATCACAAATTCATATCCTGCAAAAATGCTTCAAATATGTGGAAACTATTTAAGGAAATCACTGGTGGTAAGCGGATTAACAATAT